ACACTCCATCACAGGGCACACTCACACACACACACACACCATCACAGGGCACACTCACACACACACTCCATCACAGGGCACACTCACACACACACTCCATCACAGGCACACACACACACACACACACACCATCACAGGCACACACACACTCCATCACAGGGCACACTCACACACACTCCATTACTGGGCACACTCACACACACACACTCCATCACAGGGCACACTCACACACACATTCCCTCACAGGGCACACTCACACACACACACACACACACTCCATCACAGGGCACACTCACACACACACACTCCATCACAGGGCACACTCACACACACTCCATCACGGGGCACACTCACATACACACACACACTTACACCAGGACCATTTAGTCACACCAATTCACCTAACAGGCACATGTTTCGATGTGGAAGGAAACCAGAGCACCTGGAGGATCCACACAGGTATGGAGAGAACACGCCAACTCCACACAGACAGTGTCCCTGCTGGGAATTGATATTTTCTTCTCATCAACCTTATAATGAAACAATGTTGAACAAAAAGATGTTATTTGAGGACTTGCTATATTTTTAATACTAAACTTATAATCAATAGCAGGACTACATGTTACTTTGGAATGTAAAAATAAAAAACTAGTATAAATGCAAACAGGTCTGGAGTGCATAATTTGTATTTTAAAATGTCATTTTCCCAGGCTGGGCTTGGTGGCTCACGCCTGTAATCCTAGCACTCTGGGAGGCCGAGGCGGGAGGATTGCCCAAGGTCAGGAGTTCGAAACCAGGCTGAGTGAGGAGGGATGGAAGGTGTCAACCTGTTATGTTATAGCTACATCAGGATATCACTTATACTGTGAGCCGATAACATTGTGCTTAAGTAAACCAATTAATAAGCGATTCATAGTTGATCTTATGTGTTAAATCAGTGAATCTTAACTAGTTCTTCATGTTATCAAAAAAAAGCACTGTTCAGATATTGGTAGAAAGAGGTTTTATACAGCAATTGCAGATACAATTTAGTTACTCAGAGTAATGGAAGCCCGCAAATTGAGGGGAAAAAATGGCTCAATAGATTTGTTCCCTTCCAAAGTTCATATACATAAAGAAATCACAATTAGAAATGCAAAGAAAAGTTAAATTAAAAACCTATAAAGTTAGCCCTGATGAAATAAGTACTTTTTCAAAATTAAATAGCCTACATTTTAAAGCCTAAATTTCTGAAACCACTCTTATGTTAATATTTGCAACTTAAATAAGATTAAATTAAAAAGTGATACTTTGGGTTTTGCCATGACAGAGGTATGGGTTCTACCCAGGCTAATTTCCCTCCCTTCACAACTATAAGCAACTATAAAACTAAACAAAATATATGAAGTATATTTTGGAGGAGAAATGTAATGCTAGCAAAAAAAGAAACAACTATGTTGAGCTCAATATTTTTTCAACTTTCTGCCTTGGGGAACACTTGGGGGTCAACACATCACAAGGATATGTATGGAGGCTAAGAAAAGAATAGCAGTCTTGCTGAGCTGGGGTGGCAGAGATTAGAGGTGAGGGCTATGAATACAACTGGAATTTGCAGGGCAGAGTACCAAAGAGGAGGGCATTATTCAGATGGGAATCCTCCGGATGCTACATGGAGAAATCTCCATGGATCCTTCACCCAGAGCTGGGCTGTTCATAAATAGAGAGAGTGAGTCTCTTCTAGAGCTGACAGGAAATACCACAGTACTTACAGGCTATGTTTCTGAGTACAAAGGAAATGCATTAGAATTCATTAACTTAAAAAAATGTAAATATCTAGAAATTAAACAACACACTTCTGAATATCACATGAGTCAAAGAAAAAAATCACAAAGAGCATTAAAATATTTCAATCATAATGAAAACACAACATATAAAAAAATTTAGGAAACAGCTACAGTGGTGACAGAGGAAATTCTACAACTTTGTATACATATATTTAGATTTGAAACAAGGCTAAGAACAAGTGATTTTTGTTTTCACTTTAAAAGGTTAGAAACAGAAGAGCAAAGTAAACCCAAAGTAAATACAAGAAAGAAAATAATCAATATGAAAACCTAATTAATAGAATTGTCTAGAAATGTTTCAGAAAATAAGAAAGCCAATAGTAGGATTTTTAGAAGAACATCAAATATTTCCAGAGTGTATATTATGTGCCACACTTTATGGCCTATGTTAATTACACAGATTAAAACAAAGCAGTCCATTTGCTTCTGTCCCCAGATTCACCATATTTGAGGTTTCAGAGATGTACTTCACAGAGTGGTTCCACCGTAAAGCATCTGAGACTTCATCTGCCCTGCAATTGCCTAGAATACAGTAGGAGCTCAACAAAGGTTTGTTGAATGAAGTAATGCAATATTTTCTTTAACAAATGAGGAGGCCCAGAGAGATAGAGGACTTCCTTCAAGGTCTCCAAAGTCTTAAGTGGTAGAACCTGGGTTGAACTCATACCTTGGACTCTGGGTTTTGTCCTCCATACCAGACAATATCCTCTGCCTTGGCCAGCTCAGATTTTAAAGTCTCAACCCTCTTATGCCATTAGTGAACCTTAATAACTAAGTTCTGCTTTAAAATTGCCCTGGCAGCCCATCTTAGAAAGGCATTTCATTAGCATTCCTGTTCCTTTAATGCCAGCTTGCTAGCCAAGGAGCCCACTGAGAGGTGAGCAAGGAGAGAGTGAATGGACACAAAGACTCATATTGGAACTTGTGGCTCCATTTAGCACAGTGGAGCTGAACTGTACTGATTCACACCAGCAAAGGCCACTTTTCTCAAGGTCTCTCACCTCCCAGCACTGTTCCTTCTGCCTGATTGAACCAGGGGAACCAAATTTTCTTCAGGCAGAACTCAAGTATAATTGAGATGATAGGCTACTTCCCACCAGTGGAGAACTGAAACTTCGCAATGGAAAACACAAAGTAAAACTAAACACACACACACACACAAACACACACACACACACACACACACCATATTGTCATAATACAGGTAGGATCAGGAGCAAGAAATGCTCAGATCTTAGCAGCTTAGATCAGAAGGGAGGCATAAGAAGATAGAACTATTAGAGAAACAGTAAGAGACTCAGGAAGGAAGTGGTTATAGAAGCTGGCACTTGAAAAGGCACAGTATATCCTATCTTCTAAACAAATAAAAATTTTTGAAAGTTCTATAAAGCACATACTCCATGTTAGAACTGTTCTCAACACTTTACAAAAATACATATAAATTACAGCAAACTTACAACATAAATACTGTTACTGCCTCCATTTTACAAATGACAAAACTGAGTCAGAAACAAGTTAAGTAACTCATTTAAATTTACAGAGCTAATAAGTGGTGGAATCTAGGCAATCTAGTTCCAAAGTTTATGCTTTTACCACCCACCCCGTCCCCACATTATACAAGGAATTGATTTCACTAGGGGCAGGAGCTCCTGGTTCAATAGGTGGACCATCCCTGGAATTCTCCTCCAGGTCAAAACCTGCATTCTGAAGCTCAAACCTTACAACCGGTTAGGCATATGCTAAATTCCAGTTGCATCTCCTCTTTCCTGTCTCCATTCATTCTATTAGTCATTTGACCCAGTAAGGAGTGCTTAGATATGGGCTGATTTAGTACTCTGAAGGAAAGGCAGAGAGTTTTTTGAAAGTGAATCACAAATTTTGATTTAACACCTACCATAGACTAGTGTCACACAGATTGGAGGCTGTCTGGGATTCAGAGCAGGCAAGAGAATGTTTACATAGTAGGTATCTGTGAGTAGATGGTGTCTAAGGTCTGTGCCAGCCATGCTATGCTCTCCCTTCTCTTATGGAGCTTCCAGCCTAAAAGGCAGGGCCAATATCAATCACCTAACCCATTAGTGAATGTCTAGCTGCACAGTGAGTGAAGTCCTCTAAAGGAAAGGAAGACAGGTCTGTCTGTATTAAGGACTCACAAAGGAAGCTGAGCTGGCCCTGGGGCTGCAGAATAGCCTTTCTTGAGAAAAACATGCTTAGGCTGAGAGGTAAAGGATGAAAAGCCTTTCATGAGGTGGCACAAGCAAGATGAGAAGAGAATTCTAGGCAGAAGAAACAGCACTTGCAAGGTCAAGAGACAGCAGGCCCTGAAGCTGGCCAGTGTGGCCAGCCCCAGACAGGGAGCAGCAGGGTGTGGGTTGAAATTGAGGCTGGAGGGGGAGGAAGAGGCAAGACACAAAGCAACAGACAGAGACAACATCTCTGTGCAAAGAGCATGGGGGAGCCATGAAAGGATACAGGCAGAGCAGTGGCATGAAGCAATGAACACTCAACGTACCCAGTGAGTAACTAGACAAATAAGGAAACACAGATCCTTCGTCCTTCCTCCCAAGCTCCAACCTCACTGCTTTCTCAACCTGTACACAAAGTCCGCCCAGTAGAGGTCCTCACCAAGTCACCCAGATCATGGGACCTCAGAGTTGGCAGGGACGTGACCATCATCCAGACACATTCATATTAGCTAAGCGCTCTCTGAATCCTAGGCCATCTCCAATCTGTGAAACTAGATATCTGGATTCAGCATAGGATGCTTCATAGCTGGGTAACTGCCAACAAATTAAATCCCCCCTGTGACCATCCCTTTCTACGACTGCACAAAGAGTACTGTAGTGTCAAGTGACTATTAAGATAATGTAGATAATGTTGCCAGCATCATATCCTGTCTTTAGTAGATGCCCAGTAAGTGCCTATTTAATCTGAATTCAGCCATTCATCTTGAGCTTTATCTTTCTCCCAACTCAGCAGAGTGGAAGTTCTGCATATCAGACAGAGCTCATAGTTAAATCAGCCCAGCCATCCACTAAATAATTATGCTTGTTAGAGAAACCCACAGAAGAAGAAGGAATAAAAAATCATGAATTTATCCATGGTAGAGAAAGGAGAAAGTGAATTTAAAAAATGTCATTTTGGGGGTATAGTTGTCTATTGATTTATTACTTGAAAAATAGCTGGCATAATTTTGCTTGGGCTCAACAAATTAATGTCACCCCACCAAAAAACAATGGGTTAAATATTTCAGTGGACAATAAACATTTGAAAAAATTACCTATTTATATATTTATGTATATTTATTCATATATTCAATTTACAATTGCAGGCTCATTCCACGCTAAGAGTTGTGAATCAGAAAGATGAATAAAATACAATGCCACCCTTCAAGGACTCACATGCCACAGAAGAGGGAGATATTGAAACAAGTAACTGTAGAATTGGGACTGAAGTGCTGTAGAAGGGTTTTGAACAAGAGATACAGCTGTGACTTTCCTTGCTTGTGTCAGCGTCAGGAAAACATTCACCTAGAGGTGAGTTCCATGTGAGCTGGATTTGAAGCTTGTGTTCTGAATTTCCCAGCTAAGTAAAGAATGACAGATATTGATAGCAGGAGGAAGAGCATGTGCAAAGAAGTGAAGGCCCAAGAAGGGTGTGTTTTCTCACCTACCTACCAAGATATCTTCTTGTCAACTTCCAGCAAGCAAATAAGACATTTACTGATGGGTCCTGAGCATTTTCAGCTCCAAGGAAAGTTCAAATTACTGGAATTAGATATGGTAAATTAAGACTATCATGACAATTTGACTTTAAGTCTTATTTGTTGAAGATGCAAGGCAGAGGAAATAACCATATTGTGAGGGCAACACCCTTTCAATCTCACAAAGACTATGCTTAATGACATAAGGTAACCTAGTTGGGTGATTAAATAGTCTGGGTATAATTGCATCTGACTATATTATTCTAATGTGGTGGGTTAATATGTGCAATGGATAGGAGGAAACAGGTTTTTAGAACTGCAAATGGGTGGCAGTTTACTTTGATCTGGATTGAATTCAAACATGGGGAATAGGATGGCGGGGAGGGGGGGAGGCAGCACATGGCGGGGGAGAGGAAGGACATATTTGTCAGTCTAACTTATGAAGGTGTCCTGTGTTCATTTCAGAACAAATCCAACAGCTGCGATTCTGCCTTTAGCTCCAAGTAAAAGCTTGTCTTCTATTTTTCCAAGCTAAATGTGTCTACAGAGGCTTCCAGCTCAAAATCATCATTTGCACAGAACTTGTACAACACTCCTTCTAAAAAACATAAAATTTTCTTTATTTGATCTTCACAATTGTAGGATGGTTATAATCCCCCAACCCCACTCCATTTTGTAGTTGAAGAAACCAAAGCCCAGAGAATTTAAATAGCCTACCAGTTGTCAATGAGTGATGGAATCCTGACTCAAGCCTACTTCATTCTGCTTCTACACCAGTGTCCTGCTGGACTCTGCTCTCACTTCTTAGTTGGGAGAGGCCTGAGAGGACTGTTTGTGTCTGTTGGAGACACTCAGACCCTGAGGAGGCCCACGCAGGTGAGAGCAAATATTAAGAAAAAAAGAGATGGTTGGAGTGAAGCCTTGCCTTTTCCCAGCAGACCGGGTCAGTGAAGGAGAAAGTGTGTATCTCCGGACCATCCCTATTATGGGCAGAAGTCTCACAGGGGCTACTACACCTCCATGAGCTCATGTGGCCCAGAAGGTGGCATCCTATAAGTGCGTAAGCTGATGACTATGACAATTAACCCTGCAGGGGTTACACTGGCAGAGATGTTCATTCACACGTTAGAATGGCTCCAGGTTGTAGGACATTTCACAGGCTAGAGCAAATATTTCATTTATTTCACTAAAGTCTCTCCCTCTTTTCCTTTGTTTTGCAACTTATACCTCAGATTTGGGATGGTGGAATGGGGCTGAGATTTTAGAGACTATTCTCTGCCTATTTTTATTCTCTGGGTGACCATGTCTGCAGAAGCCTTTTGCAATATTGGAGTACAGTTCCAGCACAACCCTGCCACCAATCTATGAGCTCTATTTACCTTCATATGCCTAGTGAGCACATCATAGATATGCAGCAAATAACGGCAGAAATAATATGGAATTATTGTGTGAAGTCCATAAAGTATATATCAAGTTTTATTGCATGGCATTATGTTTACAAGCAATGACTTGACTCATAGAATCTGCTTAATATGAAATGTGTTGTAATGGCCTGCTGCTGTTCCTTTAAAGTCTCGAGAGGACACCATCTAAGGGAAACAGCTAATATCTTCTTTTTCTGAAATGTCATGCACTGCATGCATACACAAACACACACACACACACACAGTCCCCTTCAATGATATGAGTTTTAGCAAGCTATTGTTTGTTGAACAGTTTAGCAAGCTGTTGAGTCACTTCTCATTTGCAGGCAGATGCATGGTCCTAAGAAATGTGCATGGGTTTTGGTGGTGTGTTATGAGCCCTACAATCTCCTAGCATATTAGTTGGGCAAGTTATTTAACTCTGAGATTCTATATTTGCAGCAATAAGATGGAAATGATAATAGTCATTGAGTTGCAAGGAACAAATTAAGGAGTCATATTTCCTGAGTTCAAGTCCTTCCACTGCTATCATGGATGCTATAGACAATGCTGTAACGGATGCTATAGTGCTCCACTCTGATTCCTTCCAAGAACTGAGAAACTCATGCCCACAGCTTCCAGGAGTATGTGGGTTTTTGACATCTCACAGCTGAGTTCCTCCCCAGATACTGCCCTCCATTTGCCAAAGAGAGCTGCCTTGCCCAGCACTCCTCTCCTGGGAACAGTCTGAAAGAGTTCAAACGTTTGATCTTCTTTCTTCAATTTAGCTCTGAAGAATCACCTCAACTACAGAAATGCTTCAGCTTCGTTGCAGCCACTTGTACCCAATCCTGCTTCTCTCAACCCCTGACAAGTGCTGTTCAGAGAACACTTCCCCATCAACTTTCTGCAAGAAAATCTTCAATTCAGAGTCTGTTTCCTGGACTCTTGGTTGTGCCTGTGAAATTTACTGCTTATAGCGGATAGTTCTTCAGAGGTTCTTCAGAGAAGTGATAGACAGTAATATCAGAGGACAGGAGAGAAGATGTATTTAGATAAAGACTTCCTGGAGAGGGCACAAGTTGACCTTTGGAGTGACCAAGACTCACCCCCAGATAGAAAGTTCAGCACTTTTGTTTGAGAGAGAGGGTGGAAAGAGCCTAAGCTGCAGAGTCTGGAAGACTTGAGTTTTAGTCATATCTTCATCTATGACTAGTTGTGTGACCCTGGAAATCTTTCCTGGCCTCTCTGAGCTTTCATTTTGTCATTGTGAGACACCTCATTGACTTGTAAAGATTAAAGGAAACATGAAACGTATCTAGACCAATAGCTGATAGTATGGTAGACATTTAGCCAATGGTGTTGATTTGAGCTAACTCAAATCTCTAGGTTATAGTAAAAAAAAAATGGCAAAAAATTAATTAACTTCTCCACTTTGTGCCTTAGAGAAGGATAAGCCAAAGGAAGAATTTGCTCTTGTCCTCATATCACATATTATACCACACATTCACACATGCACACATGCAAACACACATGCACACAAACAGGCGTGAGCCACAATCCACAGGGAAGGACTATTTACAGTGCTTAGGCACCATAATAAACTTCTCCATGAAGTACAGCAGTAGTGTTCTTAATTAAAATCTCTTAAGAACTCTTGTTGTTGACAATATCACCACCCAAAGCCATATTTACCTTGTTAATTATTCAAGTTACAGTGAATAAGAAACAATGCCCAGGCTACCCATAAAATTTCCAAAAATTAAGCCAGGGAAATGGGCAATAAATGTCATTTGAAATGGTACTGATGCCAGTTAATTACAAGACAACTGTAAAATAATGGGGCATGAGGTACTTCAACAACGCCTAATTAGTAACTATACGGACATTTTCTTGGAAAAAATGGCAATTACATGGTGCAAACACTTAGCAGTCATCATCAAAGGCCCTTAACTAATATTAGCTAATTAATCTTCTCCACAATACCCCAGCAGGAGGTAGCACAAGTCCCCATGGAGAGAGGGAGAAGAGGAGGCCAGGAGATGAAATGGAAAATCCTCTTCTGCTCAGCATCTGTAAAGAATGATTTGGCACTAGCAGCCTAGAAGCACCCAGGGGGGATCCCCAGGCAGGTATAGACAGGTTGTTTTCTTAATGAGTGGCATGCCCAGGTGATGCATAATGTTAGTGTGGTGAATTCTTGCCTTCCTCTTGATCTCCAGCCACGTCTCACATCCCAGCTGACCCGGAGAACTCCTACACTGAATTGCTGTAGCAGGCATACGTGCACTCTTGCATTTATCAGCCCTTTCCCTTTTTCTAAGCAAGAAGGCTTTTTTTCCTCAAACATATAAAACCAAAGGTAAGGAGAAGGGAGTGGTCCCTATTTCCATAAAGCCAAGCTTATTATATCAGGACATGGTTCACAGCTTTGGCTTCAGCTCAACTATAAGATCTAGAATTATTTCAGGAGTATGATTGATTTTGGTTAGGTGAAAATATTTTTTTTTTTTAAAAGGAGTGAACTATCTCCTATTCAAAATCTCACTGGTATCTAATTTTGTAATCTTTTACCTAAGGAAGGTTCAAAAATTGTATAATTTCCAGACCCGAGACGACCTGGATCTGCCCAGATAGTTTGTTGAGTTCTCCTGTCTCTGAGTCGGGGGTCATGTTTTGTTAACTTCTGAGGGTCTGGTACCGTTTTGAGGTAGACTCAGTTTCATAAAGCTGATCTGAGCCACATCATAAAATGATGCCTGCACGAACTCCACCCAACTCTATCCGTCTTATTATAAATCTGATTCTTCCCATTAAAACAGTTAAGATGTAATAATGATAAAGTGGAGAGAAAGAAAGGAGAGAATGAAGGGGAAGAGAAGGAGGAAGAAGGGAATGGAGAAGGAGGAGGATAAGATGTCAAGGAGTGGGGAGGAGCAGTGAAAGAGGATGCTCTCCTCTCCTCTCTGTAGCAATGCCCTGAAGGAGGCAGAATTACTGCCCCCGTTTTATAGATAATGAAACTGAGACATGGAGAGCTTAAGTGGCCTCCAACCCCACAACTAGCAAAATGGTGACCCCCAACCCTGACCCTGTCTTGATTTCATCCTAAATTTCTAGTTCTTTCCACAGTGCCACTTTTAGGATAAGTTTCCTTGACACCTCTAACTTGTCTCTCAACCTGTAGCTAATTGATAGCCACTGGGAAAGTGTAAAAAACATTTTGGAATGATATCACCCTAATAAAGTATTTGATGAATTGAGATCCAGTGACCGGTCAAATCCAAATACAATTTTCTTAGAGCAACACACACACTTCATAGAAGAAGAGTCATTATTTTGCTCCTTCGGTATCACAAAAGAGCAAAGAAGATCACAGAACATCTGGAGGATAAATTGTAGAGTCCGATAAGCCTACCTCCAAAAATCCTGAATTCTAGTCATTATCTGTAAAATGGGCACAATAATGGTACCTACACTGTGAGAATGATAGGAGGATCAAGTGGGCAAATGCATAGTGCCTGGTATACAGAAAGCACTCAATAAATGTTGGCTATGTTTCACACTATATTACCCTATTAATGATTGCTTATGATCACTCCTTTGCTCAAAGTATACCATATTAATGGATCATGCTGGCTATGGAACCTAAATTTAAATCTTTCATCATCTAATTAGTTTTTGTGTAACTATGGTGGACCTACTTAGCCTCTGTGTGCCTCAGTTTCCTTATTAGTAAAAAGGGTATAATAATAGTATCTGCTTGATTTTTTAAAGGGGTTGGTTGTAGGAGTTAAATGAGATGATGTATGAAGGTATTTAGCCTGGCACCTGGCCAATAACAAGATCATGATAAATATTAGGTGGGCATACCTTACACACAGAAGGAACACAGTGCCTGTTTGAGTCATAGATTCAGCAAAATTGATTTGACATTCACTCAACAAACATTTGTTGCCAACATACTTTACAGTAAGCAGCATTCTCTGGGCTGGGGATTTAGACATAAATAAACACATGGTTCCTGCCTCAGCTGAGTTAATAGTGTATTCTGGCACAGATGATATAACAAGGACCATCAGGTACATGTGGAGGGGAAAATATTCTTTTCCAGAACATCCAGAAATGTTGAACGAATGAAGCATTTTGTAGTTTCACAAAAATCTCAGGAAAATACATTTTTATTCAACTTCCCACACAACATTAGAGTTTATTTCATCTAACTTCTTACTTCAATAATAAAAAATGACAGCCCCTCCTCTCTGAAGTGACAGCTTGTCCTTACAATCTCAGAAGACAGGATGTTTTGTAAAGCAGCTGTTTCTACAGTTCAACAGCTCTGAAGTCCATCCAGCAGCTGATTATGCTGAAACCTGGTCCCCTCAATGTGGTCACCTTTGGTGATTGGCCTTCCTCAGGAGCTGGGCAGAGAAAGTCTAACCAGCCTGTTCCACCCAATAGGCGTTTCTCACATGTCCACTCCCACTTCTGAGTCATTGTTTCTTTAGGTTAAACTTCCAGGCATACCCCGATGAAAGTCCAATAGATACAAGCATCTTTTCTAAATGATGAGCTTCCAGACAGCAGGGATGATGACCAGGGCTGAGCCCTGGGCACTTGGCACCACCTTGGTCTCAGCATCCCCTCCTTCACCAGGGTCCACATCAGCCCTCCATGCTTGTGAATTTGGGCCAACTCTGCCAGAGTCCCCTCTCCTTAGGCCTTACCGCTGGCCTAACCAGCCTCTGGACAAAGGAGCTGCTATCAACTCTGCCTTTGGGGCCTTCAAAACAGGGCCCAAAACAGGGCCAGGGGGAGTCCTCAAAGCTTTCCCTATTGGTGTAAGGCCAAGTCTGGCTTATCTAAACCATGGGTCCTCTCCCAAATAATTACTTACTCCACTCCCAAATTTCCAGAACTGCTGACTCCTGCTGCTGATGGCTCTTGTCTGCTGGACTTGATGAATGACTCTCCTTGGTGTCTCACCTCTCTGCTCCAGAGGGCAAAAATCCAATAAAGTCCAAACCTCTCACTTACTCTTCAAGGCCCCTTGAGCCTGGGTCCTGTTTTTCCCCCCATCTTACTTTCCATTCCATCACCCTTCCCAGCACCCCAAGCCAAGGCAGGCCTGCAGCCCCATCCTGGCTCTCCACCTCTGACATTGGCAAATGTCATTTCTGCTCTTATCATGCTCTTCTCAGCCAGGTCTGCCACAACGGCCTACTCAAATCCTATATCCCTGTGAAGTCTTCTCACATTTACCCAAGTTAAAATGAATTAAACCCACTCTCCTCTTTATACTTAGAATAGCTTTTGAACATCTGATAAAATTAATTATTGACACAAAACATTTTGTAAGCTCTCACTGTAAGGCAGGGTCTACTAAGGGTATAGTAGCTTTATCTCATTTGATATATAAGGCAAAGATAATCATTTAAAATATTTTTCTATAAACAAGGAAGTTGATGCTCAGTGCCACTGAATGGCTTGCCAAGATCACATGGGTTGTGGGCAGAAGAATCATTTCTGTCTGCCTCCACTGCCTGTTGCTTTGCTATGGGCGGAGGCTCCTGCAGTACTGCAGGCTCAGAAGCAAAGCTACTGAGGACAAGTGTCTGAAAGGCAAGCTCCTTGCATGGAGCAGAAGGAAAGAGGTGTGGCCTGTAAGGTGTTGACAGACAGAAGACAGGAAGCCATGGCCAAGGGAAATGAAGGTGCACAGAGCTGAACTGTGACCCCTGGTGGAAAATAGACAAGGGATGTCTGAAATGAAGCTAGATAGAAGGAGCTCTCCTGGACAACAGGGCACTGTGGAAAGAACAGGGAAGGGCTCTGTGCCAAGATGCAGAGAGGAGGCAAGTACAAAAAGCTACCCACGCTGAGGACTGAATATTGAAGAACTGTTTTGAAAAGAATGGGAAGGATTTCAAAGGCAAGCAACAGCTTTCCTGCCAGAGGATCTCTCAGACCCTGAGCAACAGAGTTTTAGAGATAGCTACAAGAGAACTGGGTGGAGTATTTCCAGCCCACCCTCTGAGAGGGTAGAAGTCATTGTGCCCCCACCCCATTCCCTGTTTAAAAGCCAACACATGCCCTGGGTCATTGGCAGCCACATCCACTGAGACACACTGAGACTGGCTTTTGCAGGAGTCTGAGAACACCTCTTTTCACTTCCAACCTCCTGCCAGCCAGGTCCTCCAGTTTAATTCACTTCAAGGCTCTATTATGTGAAGACTAATATCAAGCACTAATTTTAAATGACAACAATCCCCCAATAGTGACTGCAGCCTTGTGCAAAAATCAAGCTCACAAGCCCTTTAAATACAATATAGAATGTGTCATAGTGAGACATGCCCCAAATTGGGACTGGCAGGCAGGTTTCATCTAGAGTGCCAACTCTGGTTCATTAGGAGTGGCCACCTGGAATGACTTGAAAATGATTCTAAAGTTGCCTCCAGGCTCAGCCAAGAAAATATGCTGTTATTGATTGGTAATGTCTGCCAGGAGTAAGAGGGGGAGAAGAGTGATGGAGGAACACTGTAGAAGCAGAGGAGCCGCAATGAGCACAGCCGTGGCCATCAGAGATGATGTCCTATGGGCGATGAAGCCTGAGAGGACCCTTAAAGGAGGAGCAAGAGACAGGCAGATGAGGTGGGTAGGGGTGCTAGTGGAGGAATAGACGGGAGTAGTTCCTTGACATAGAAATCACATCAGCAAAGGCATAAGGATACGATGCCAAAAAAAAAAATTTTAAAAAAGATTGTTTGCAGAAAACTCCCAATAGTTGAGAATGACTCAAGTATAAAGTGTGAATATTCAAGGTCAAGGTGAAGTTGACAGGTAGGCTACAGCCAGGCTGTACGGGCCCCTAGTAGATTTGGTACACAGAGTTAATTTGACATTAGAAAAACATGAAGCTAATCACAAGTTCATTTAACAGGTACTAGCTGAGTGCATTACATTCCTGTAAGTATGGGTTTTGTTGTTTAATTTGTGGGGTTTTTGTTGTTGTTGTTGTTGTTTGTTTGTTTGTGCTCAAATGACTTCATATTGAGAAGTTACAACTCTGGCATAAATATGTGTGACATCAATAGACAAAAAGGAAATAAGAGGAAATAACCAAGTATGGTGAATGCTGGGGAAATAGAATAATCTGTCTAATCACACAGGTAAGGACACACCCAGATGAGTTTACTGTGGTTCACAATGGCTTAATCTGGTTCCACGGAGACCAGTCTACAGGCCACAGGTTCTCTCTGGCTGAGCCATCGACAGGATTCCTGCCTACATGCAGGGGGAGAAATTGGCTCCTCCAGGGCCTGCCCACCTCCACCACAGAAGATGCTCAACATACATCCCCAGCTCGTTGCACAAAATCACCACACAAGCGAGTTACCATTTACAAAACTTCTAAGAGCAGCCCACATTTTTCTTAGAGAGAGAACATAAGAGAATGGAACACAAAGAAAGTAAATCAGGAAGGGCTACAACTTTGCTGTCACTGGTTAAA